CCGCTAGCGGAAGAACCCACTTCATTAGTTATATAGCGGCCGTTTTTGATATATTTGACCGTGCAGAAGGGCGATCGTGCAAGCACTGCCTTATTGCACAAACCGTCCATAAATTTTGAATAAACAAATGTAAGACCGCGCAATATTATCTTGATCATTTTGGTGGATTCTCAATGTCGGTCGGTAGGGATTTATAGAGGGGTCACATGGGGGAACTTGGGAATAATAATAAAAACTGCTGGTAAACGTTCAGTAGGTCGTATTTCTGCCAATTGAAAAACTCCTCAGATTATGTGAGCCAATAGGAGTTGTCTCAATAGTTTCATGGTCTTTTCTGTCCCTTTTGACCTCGGTTTTTAGTTCATTAACTCAATTGCAAGCAGCTTATCTTGTTTATGAATGTGCGATTATAACGCATCAAACGCATCAATAGCATATTAATTAAAAATTGCTCAAGTATGTAACTTTTAACCGCGAATTCCGTAGCCCACTTGTGCTAAGATAATTCTGTCATTTCGATATATGCCAAGTTAGGCAATTTTAAATATCCAGGATCTCAAATGACCAAATAGTACACGATCGGAATACCAGCCAGACCGCGGCCTAAATTTCGTAACATTTGTCGATAGCACTGTCTTCAAGGAAGGCGTACTTTAATTGCCTCACAGTCAGCCGTTCGAGGAGACATGTACATTGTCGTGATAGGTACGCCCGACCGTGCATGTTAATTAATTTTCTAACTGAAGTTACAACGATTGTTTGAGGAATAAGAATTTCGGTCGAGGTGTTTCCGCGTGTTCTTAAGGAATTCATCAACTCTATTTTAATCGTATATGTACATCTACAGTTATACCATTTTCGCAAGACGAAAACATATTGTCATCTAAAATTTCGTACCATAAGCAGCTATGCTACCCCAATAGACCTTAACCGATATTTGTTTAATTTTTTTTATTTGAAGATATTACTTTATTGGCCGTTGAGGATAATCTTACAATGTTATACAAAGCTCAGGACAACGCCTTTTAACCGGAAGAACTCACATATAGCGTCTTCCATTGTGTGATTGCATGAAAAGCACAATTAAGTGGCATCGTAATTTGTCTGCTTTAATTGTAGCCCCGATCTCTTACGTGAGGATGACGTGAATCCCAAAGGAATCTTCCTTGCAGATCTGCCTAAAGATACAACGAACTGCGATCTATTTGAATACTTCTCACAATTCGGACTTATTACCGACGTTATCTTGCTAAAAGAGAAGCTGGATGGGGACATTGGCCGCTGTGGTATTATAATTTTCCGTGACGTGGATGCAGTCAAGGAGGTGTTTGCTGCTCAGCCGCACCAGTTAAATTCAAAGCAAATC